AAACATGGTTGATTAATTATGTAATCACTGTGTGCTGACAATTGAAATACAAAACTATTAAAAATAAAAATTAAAAATAAAAATCCTCGAATGCACCTCAAATCGGGAGATATATTGTTATTAAAATCGAACGCATTTAATAAATACTGTATTTGGTTGTAATATTATTTTTGTAATTATATTAATTTATATGTTACATCAAACGATATCAATGTATACAGAGTGTCCTAGAACTCATTGGACAAATTTCATGAGTGCGAATTGAGTAAAAAAGTTTTGTACTGTTTTGCAAACAACATGCAAAATTATGAGTTACTAATTGCTGAAGTAATAAATTACTGAAGAATTGTGAAATAATAAATAATTACTGAATAATACTGAAAATGCCCATGTGTATGTCAGGGATTTGATCAAATCTCCATTTTTATCATCTCCCTGCGACATATACACGGAAAAAAATTAGTCATAAATCAAGAATAGATATTCTCATATATAAGCGAGAATGCTGTAATCTTCTTAGGAAATATTTAGTTTTGAATTGAATTCAAGTAATACTTGCATCAATATAAAAACTTGATAGGTTTTTAAAGAATCTTTAGGCTCTGTGCACAATAGAGCATGCATTAGGAATAAGAATAAATATTAAATATTGGGAGTAGGAATTGTAAGAATGATTTTTACAGAACGGAATAAAATGAATAGCTATATGACAATTTCTATATTAATATCTTGCATTTCATATTTTCCATTGTATTTAATCACATCATTCCTCATTCTTATTCATAATATTTAACATTTTTTCTTAATATATTTCCATTGTATGCAGGCCTATAATAAAAAAATATATAAAATATCGCAAAACATACAGGATGATAACAACTAAGCACTAAAAATTATTATGATTTTACAGATGAAAATGAATGATTCCATGGATGGAGGCATGGATAACCCTATGCCGGAAGGCATAGGTGGAATGGGTGGTGGAATGGGAGGTGGGATGGGTGGTGGAATGGGAGGTGGAATGGGAGGTGGAATGGGAGGTGGTATGGGAATGGGTCGCGGCGGAATGCGCGGTGGTGGAAGAGGTGGACGTGGCGGCGGCGACAGAAATATGGGCGATAGAAATAGATCGCAAGATGTAAGTTCACGCTTTATATTCGTTGGACAAATTCTTAATTACCTCAGCAAAAGTGTAACAGCTATTTGAACTGTGTGTTTATTTTAGGACCGACTGATGGAACGTATCATGGCTATCAGTGGACCTACTCATGAGCTTCCACCTCAAGAAGTGACAGAGAAGAAATTTAGCGGCAGAAATCGCTTATACATTGGCAACTTGACAAATGATGTTACAGAAGAAGAGATACAGACAATGTTCCGCAAATATGGAGAAATATCTGAGCTGTTTGTTAACAAAGAGAAGAGTTTTGCCTTCCTCAGGATGGTAATCACAGATTATTTATAAGTCGTTTTAAGAATGAACGAAGCTTGAATGAATGAATAATGCAACATATGATTATAATAATTACCGGTTGATGTAAAATGATAAAAACTTTGGCTGTTTATAGAATGATGTCATTGCTATTATAAAAATATTATACATTTTCCAGTAACACGTTAAGACATGATAAATTTTTTCTATCTAGGATTATAGAATAAATGCTGAAAAAGCAAAGCACGAATTAGATGGTACGATGCGCAAAGGTCGTGCGTTGAAGGTACGTTTCGCCCCTCACTCATCAACAATCAAGGTGAAAAATCTTACACCTTGGATATCCAACGAGCTTCTTGAAAAGTCCTTTGGTGTATTCGGTGAAATCGAACGTGCAATTGTCATTGTTGACGATAGAGGTAAAAGCACTGGCGAAGGAGTAGTCGAATATTGCCGAAAGCCGTCTGCTCAGCTAGCTTTGAGGAAATGTACAGAAGGCTGCTATTTCCTCACGGCGTAAGTTATTAGTATTTTGCTAAAAATAAATTTTACAATTTTTATCAAATCCCCGAAGCCACGCTTGTTTGATGAATCATTATCTGCGAGTGC